AAGTCAGAATGGACCTAGTTTATCTAAGGTTAATATAGAAGAGTTAAGCACATTCCTAGTGCCAGGGTCCTGTTGAAAAGCTCCACACAGCACTATAATGGTTTTATCTTTTTTTCTTTTTTGCAGTGCTGGAGATCCAACCCAGGGATGCTAGGCAAATACTCTACCACTGAGCTATACCCCCAGCTCTGTTTTATCTATTTATAGTATGCTAGGAAGCTTTGCAGCATCAACCAACCAGTGGTAATCAGACATGTGGTTAAGACTTCAGATGATGCAGTTATGTCAAGCTGAATTCAAACAAGTTGATACCATAAGCTGAAAGGAGCAAGGCACAGATTTAGCCCTTGAGCCTCTGTAGTGAGTTCAGCCCTGATGACAACTTGGTTTCCTTGGTTTCAGACTCCTGGCCTCCAGAACTGTGTGAGAAAAAAAAATCCGTTCTTTTATGTCACTAAGTTTTTGGCAATTTGCTATAGCAGCCCAAGAAAGTAATAAGTGCAAGCACGAGGAGGTGTCTGTAGAGGCCCATGCATGGAGCTGCAGGAATGGACATGTGAAGGTCCTTGCATCACATGTAGCTATCTCAAGTAGATGTGCATTCTGCTTCTGTTTCAGAACCCCAAACTTCAGTTGATGGAGGTCATAAAGCTTCTCCAGAGATCTTGTATTTACTCTCTAGTTTTACTTGTGCCTCTACAATGTATCATGACCTTGCTATCTGTGGCTCATATAGCATTGGAACTACTTGCCTCCTTTTTCAACCCTCATCAAGAAAGATTTTGTGTGGTGACATCTGTCCTCTCTTGTGATGTTTATCTTCTCTCTCTGGTCAGGCCAGGTTTCTGCTCCCCATTGCAACTGTTTGTAATCTCACATCATTTATTTTGTAAGGCAAAGCTTCTGGAAGAAAACTTCTGGGAGTTCTCACCTGCTCCTGCTGGCTTGGGGCTTCCTGTTTTAACTGCTCCAGCATCTTCTGCAAGCCAGTGTTTCCATCTGAACTGGATGGAGTTCAGCTTTGTGGGGTGATGGGGCCTTTTAACCTCTAAGAGTTTGGCCTGTAAAATTCTTTATAAAATCTTGCAATTACTCCATAGATAAACAGCTTTATAGTACATTTAAAAAATTCTTTTTGGTTTTTAAACTAGCAAGAAGATTTTCTAATATTAGCAAATCTTTAAGCCTAGACACTTCCTTGAAGAGATTTTTTTTTTTTTAATTGTGTGCTTTGTGCCTTAGTTCCTCAAATAGGGGGTTTACTATTTGGGGCTTTTCTTCACTGACAAGGTTTGAAGCATTTTAAATTTTTGTTTACATTTTAGCTCCATCTGTCGTTCAGTTATTCCTCCCTTCCATAGAAAGAACTCTCCAGAAAAAAATGTCTCCCAAAATCATATGCTCAAAACCCTCCTGACAATTAGAACCAGGCTTCAGATTTTCAGTCAGAGGACCACTAGCACCTCTGTCACGAAGAGAGCTCTTTGCCGGGCTCTGAGCCCCAATCACTACCTCATTGGCAGCCTCAAAATCCGGTCTAAGCTCTTTCAGGCCTTTCCATTGGAGACATCCTGGTGTATATTGTAGCTCCAGAGTCAAGGCTGTTGGCTGGGCCAGGATACTCTGAATTCCTTCATTGTCGTCTGTCAGCTAGAACCCATTTCCAGTTGGTTCCTGTGTACATTTCTTTGCGGGCCAAGAAGTGGCCTATGGGTGGCACAAGCTGGGCATCAATGACATTACCTGTGGGGTGTATTTGAAGCCTCTGACTCTTTTCTACAGCTCCTTTGCTCTGTGATGTCCATACAGGGTGGTAGGAAGGGATCTAAGTCTCTTTTTTGCCAGACCCAGGCAGAGCCTTTACCTGAACCACAGACACGTCCCAGCGTCCCAGCTTCCAGAGCAGCCCCGCCCTTCCTGCCTTCCTCAGCTCCGCCCCCACCCAAACAGCAAATCAGAGGCTCTGTTCAAGGTGCGTCACAAAGGTATTAATTGCCCCGCCCTCCACAGTTCTGCCTAGAAAGCGGTGTCCCCATGGTGAGCAGAGTTGTGCTGCTTTTCCTGCAGGAAGTGGTCTCACACAGGGAGATCCTAGCACAGATACCCTAGGAACAGGTGAGGGGCTGAGGGGTGAGTGACTTTGCCTCTGCCTGGCGTCTCTTCCTCTTTCATGGTTTTTTCACTTTCTCGCAGGGACCAATGGTTTCCTAGGGCCTTCACTCCTTATTTCTGAAAACAAAGTTATTTCTTCCCCAAGAATCAATCCTTTTCCCCCTCTAAGCAATACCATTCTTTGGGTGATCTGAGCCAAGTTCACAGAGAGCTGGGTCTTCTGAGGGCCTTTCCTTTTGTCAGGGATTAGAGTTGGATCAGATTGACAGTTCGGTCCAGTTCTGACCAGCAAGGCTGGAGCTAGGGAGGAAGAGTATGGTGTGTGTGTGTTTGTGTGTTTGTGTGTGTGTGTGTGTGTGTGTGTGTGTGTGTGTGTGTGAGAGAGAGAGAGAGAGAGAGAGAGAGAGAGAGAATGAATCAGGAAAAATATCCTCCTTAATAAGTGATGTGTGGAGCTCCTGTGCCATCTATACCATGAGGAGAAGTCTGCCAGGAGCCCTGCTTGTGTGGTTAAGAGATCTCTGACTTTGGAGATCATATCCCATTGTCTAAACCACATTGGTTAGATTTTCCCATCCTTGACACTGGAAGCATCCTTTATGATATGCCATCCTTTATGACATGTTGTAACCCACCTTAAATACCCATGTGGCTCCAGATCTCAGGGTTACTAGTCACTGTACTGCCTCCAAATATATAGGTTAGCCATCTCACACCCACATTTCCCAGCTTTCCATCTGACCTCACTCTCCCTTATCCTTTGAAACTCTTTCCCCACCTGGCTTGAGGTGACATTCCCTGGTCATTTCTTAATGGGCCTCCATGAGTTTCACTTAATCTACCTTCAACAGTGGCAGTGCCATGGGTCCAGCCTTTGGACTTTTCCTCTTTAATCTTTTAATCCTCCTTAAATGAAGTAGCTTTAAATTTCATCTGTGCTGACTCTGCAAACTTCTATCATTTTTGTGAATGCAATACTCAAGTGGCAGTTCTTGTGCATATCCATGCTTGAGTGTTTTATAACATCTTGAATCAAGCATGTTCAAAATAAGAGTACCTGATGATCATAGCTCAAGAAACACTGCCCTCCATCTGTTTTTCTCCCATTTTCTATTTAATGCATGTCAAATCCCATCAGACTTTCACCATCTTCATTGCTCCTGCTCTAGTCTTTATTCTGGCATCTAAACTATTGAAAGCCTTAGAAAGGCTTTTCCTGCTGCCTTCTAATTCCCAATGGATTCTCTGCAATTTTTATTTTATTCATTTATTTTTTGGTACTGGGGATTGAAGCCAAGGATGCTTAACCACTGAATCACATCTCCAGCCCTTTTTATTTTGAGTTAGGTTCTCACTAAAATTGTTGAGGGCCTGGTTAAGTTGCTGAGGTTGTCTTTGAACTTGTGACCTCTTGCCTCAGCTTTCTGCGTCTTTGGGATTATAGGTGTGCACCACTGTGCCTGGCTTTCTCTGCACATTGAAATCAATCAGAGCATGTCACTGTGATCTGTAGGCCCCTTCCCCATCTTCCTCTCCTTCTTTGCTCTGCTACGCTGACCCCATGCTATTCTAATGTGATAAGCCTATTCTTGTCCCAGGACTTTTACCCTCCCTGACCATCATATCTAAAACTGTCCACTGGCCCAAGGCACCCCTACATAGACAACACTCCAATGGAAGACATACTACTGCAGCATGTGTTATAGCATTTAGCTTCAAGGTAGAGGTTGAATGATTGCTCTGAATGCTTCACTCTCCTGCAGAAGTAGCATTTAGCCATATGGCATGATAGTGATGGGTGTGGAATTCCTGCCTCCTTGACATTAGGCTTGGCAGGTGGCTTGCTTTGGCTAAAGAAACAAACTGAGATGATTTCTTGAGCTTGCTTCCAATGTCATCAATGACCCTTGATGAAGCACTTACTTATTATCTCAGTTCACCTGCAGATAGGGCTGAGATGGATACCAGTCACGAGAGCTCAAAGGCATCTTCCTTCAGTTCTCCATCAACAGTAAAAAGAAGGAACCATACCACAAATATAGTCATGATGTATGCTGTCTAAAGCTCCTTGCACATAGTAACTTATTTAAAATTCACAAGCCAAGGGGAGGCTCTTTTATCATTGTTCCATACAAAGGCAAAATGAAAGTACAGTGTGGTCACAGCCAGCTTGTGATATAGTTGAATTCAAGAGTACCCAGCCTCCACACCCTCAGCCAGGAACCCAGCTGGTTTTTAGCCTAGCTCTCAAACTCCTCCTGTTTTACTCTGGCAGAGGAGCAGTCTTGTCCTGACTGACCATGACAGGCATTACTTAGAAATATAAGGATTCTCCATGATGTTGAAAACCAGGTCTGAGGCAGAAGATGAGTCTGCAGAGGTGTCCCTAGTAGAGCTGGGCTGCCCTGCATCTGCCGAGGCATACCCCACCTACCCAGGCACCTCACTTGTGGGGCAGGAGCTGGACAGCAGGCTCACTTAGCTATATCCAAGTCAATGTGTTTTCTTCTCTACCACCAGAGCAAATGCAGATGGAAAGTCACATCATGTTTATTCATGGAGTTTGTAAGTTAGTGCGAGGGCACATTGCCTGGAGCTGTGTGACTTGGTTTACCTCACATTGAGGGCAATGTGGTGCTAATGCCCAATGCAACATGCTTACCTCCATGGATTCCTAAATCAAGTCCATGTCCACCAGCTACAGAGTCATGGTGTTTTACTTGCTTCTGTTCTACCCTAAGAGTCCTAGAAGCCCTCACTCAAGTCCCCAGTCAAATCTCGTGGGACATGTTAGTGGTGCGAAGAAGCCTGTATCACCATCAGTTTCTTTTTATTTATTTTGAAATGGGATCTTGCTATGTTGCCCAAGCTAGCCTCAAACTTCTGGGTTCCAGGCTATCCCCCTGCCTCAGCTTCCCAAGTAGCTGGGACTATAGGCACATACCATGGCATCTGGCCTACCATCAGTTTCTTTATTTTTTATAAAAAATTTCAACAATCTATTTTTTTCCTACCATAAATTTCTTGTGGCATAATTTGCTGAGTATCCAATCCTGTCCTTACAATCCTGGCTGTGAGACCACCATTTGTTAAAGATGTAATTTCTGGCCTTTAGTTTAAAATGGGTCTTTTGGCAAGCATGGCCAAAAAGCAGAAACCATCCAATGATGTCAAGACTAAGTGGCCTGGTTAAATGATTACAATAACCGGCAATAGAAGGATGAAGGTGAGAAATCATCCCTTCTGGGGTTTGATACAGAACTATTTTATAAGATTGTTCCCAGGGGGAAGATAGCAAGGACACTGACACTGCTCCAGGCCTTCCAATCACCCTGAAAAGTGTATGAATTCTAGGACATTTTTATTAATATAACATTCTATTAATATTTTGTACATTTTGCCTGTGAAAAATTAACCTCTGAACTACACTTTTAGATTTTAGAGATTTTTCTACCCTGTGGGCTGGATAAACAGGTCAGCAGGTCATCTTTTTAATGTTGTGCAATTAAAAAATGTGAAGCTAATTAAATGTAAAGGATGTTATCATGCCTATTATTTCTAGGACCTCACTTCTGTTTGACTACCATGCCAGGGTGGTAAGGTGAGGGGAACTTTTGGCTGTCCAGGAAGCACCAAGTGTTTTTGGATCTTGGTTATTTCCAAGTTTAGTGTCCAATCATAAGGAAGACAACATCACAAAGGCTTGTCTGAAGAGATTGGCTGCTCGGCTGAAGTTGAATTATAAGTACCTGAGAGGAGACAGGTACAAGATCATGTATAGAGAATGGTAAAGGGCATGCAGAGCCAGCTGATGCATTCTTTCAAACTACAACACAAATGTTGGAAAACTACAAAGGAAAGTAAGGAAATGATTACAATTGGGAGTAAGAGTGAAGCCCTATGGTTGGGGGAATGTGTTCATCTCCAAGGTCATCAGTTTGCACCCTGAAGATGCAAACTCAGGCAGACACAGGTTGTCTGAGGTAATAGTGTGTCTAGCTTTATATGCTGAATCCTTACTTATTATTTTTGGTACCAGGGGTGCTTAATCATGAGCTACTTCCCCAGCCCTTTTTATTATTTATTTTGAGACAGGGTCTCACTAAGTTGC